GATAGACGCGGCCAAGGTCACTACGTATGCAAGCCCGGTGCAGTTGCCGAACCGCTCTCGAGCATATGCATCTTACACGTCAGAGCGTTAGCCGGGGAGACAGGGACAGCCGTTCAACTTGCATTAGGGCTTTGGGCGGGAATGTCAATCGGAGACGTTGCCGTTCGTCCTGGTCATGGCCATGACAAGCGCATGAATTGGTGGCGACTCGGAGTGGGGTCCCGCAACGCACCGCTGACGCTATGTGTTTGACGCGAAAGCCGTGATACCCCACACTAGCAGGAACAAAAAAGAGACGCACGCAGACGCGGCCGTGTTTGCCAGCCCAGAAACAGACAGCTAACTCCGCATGTCAGAGCGTACGTGATGCACAGGATGGAAGGGTATGGGGAAGGGAGGACGCACCACCACGGTACCCGTGGTTGCGTGCCACTCGCTTGAGTCGTGGGTCTGGCCAGACAGTATCCCCATAGACGGATCAGCTGGCAGCTCGGAGCCTTGTAGAGGCCGAGGTGCGGGTGGAACTTGTATTGGTCGGGATACACCGAGAGTCCCCGCGCGCCGACGGCGCAGATGTCTTTAATGAAATACACATAAAGTCCCCTTCTGGAGATTGATTCCTTACTCGATCAATCTGATCTTGAGCTGCGGTGTGACCGCCGAGAAAAGGTCGTGTGGCCGCGAAGTATTCTCACAACCATCCTTACACGTCGTCCCAAGTGCACGATGGTCCCGAGGGTATGCATCTGTGCAGAGGGTTGGACCTATCAGCGCTATGGAGGAGCGGCGGCAGAAAATTGGCAAGAGACGCGTACCCAACATTTTAGCCGCACTTGGCCCACCAGCTTCCCGACCCTTCACGGTGGTGCGGAGGTAAAGAGCTTACCGGATGATGTAGAGATCTTGTTCACACACCCGGACGGCGGGCATCTCCTCGTAGCAAAATCCCTATTGGTGGGCCTGACAACTCCCAGCACTGCGTCTATGCGCGTCTCGAACACCTACTACCCCGCGGAGCTGGGCGGTACTGGTTCCTCATCGAGTTTGCAAGCGCCTTTGAGGATAACACGCAAGAAACGCTCGCACCTCACAAGGGCGTGCTCTGTTCACGAAGGTGGACGTGTGTTGGCACTGCGGCAAGGTCGTGTTTATTTTGATTGGCAAGTATTCACCAACGCCTTGCCGCCGTAGAGGCCGCCTTATGCCCCGCCGAATTTCTTACCGAGGTCCCTCCAACCAATGATCAAGTCGCTCTTGAAGGCATCTGCCCACGACGGCAACGCCGCTCAGGCATGGCGGCAAGTCTTCATTTGCGCCCCAGAAAGTGTATGCCGTGGGGGCGAGGCGCCGCAACGTCGCCTCCATCTGTCCTGCTGCTCCTTCGCCGGTATTGGCACCGCACGCAGATGAATGCTGGGGTCGGCAGAGGCAATGCCGTCGTACAGAGCTGCGGAGGCATACCCAGACCGAGAAAAGGACCGGGTGGTCTGGGCGTCAGGTGGACGGAGAGGGGGCAGCGTGCTTCACGCGAAATGACCGTAGGAAGGACGCACTTGGATACCCGTGCGCTGGAAGACACGCCCAAGAGCATTTTGCGCGGGAGACGGCACCGTCTAGCTCGCGTCTGGACGATCGTCCGCGAACACACGAGGCTTGTCCAGGAGTTGAAGTGTTCCCATGTCCTATGGCAAGCGGAATTTAGTCGCGTCCTCCGTAACGTTATGACAAGACGCGCGGTGCAGCATACCGATATCAATTATGACTCTCGAGCGACATTGAGGCGTCTGATATCAGTAGAAAATGGCCACGGGTGCATGTAGGTGAAGTTACGAGCGCGCCAAGTATCAATGGGATGCACCAATGAGTGTTCGTGGGGACGGTGCGGGCTGGGCACATAGCACGAGGTCCTGCAGCAATGAAAATTCTGGATCACTCGGACATACCAGCACGGACGGCACAAAGACATACCGACTCGGCTTCCCCGACCCCAGTGGTGCACGGCAAGCCTCGCTCATCGCGGCAGAGAATAGCAGCTGTCGGATTGGACACTCACCAACACTGCCGCATGTCCATGGGCCAATACACTCCGACGACAAGGCACGCCGCGCTACATCCGACACGAATGCCCAACAGACGGCAGAGGTATGCAGAACGGCAGGGCTGCAAACCTATAAGAGCGAGCGCGCTGGGCCCTACAAACCTCAGATCACCAACCCGGTCTACCAATCTCTCGAGCACTCACCGCCACTCACCTCAACCCAACTCACCATGTTCGCCCGCGTCGCTGCCTTCGCTACCCTCGCCATGCCCCTTCTTGCGGCCGCCACCCCCGTTGAGCTCGAGGCTCGTCAGACCTGCAGCACCGGCGCCATCCAATGCTGCGACAGCGTCGAGAGCGTAAGTGGACGCTCCCAATGCGCCTCCATGCCCCGAGCTCACCGCGCTTTGCTTTCTGACAGTCCTCGTCCGCCTCGGGCAACTTCCTGCTCGGTCTGCTCGGGATCGTCCTCGGGGACGTCACCGGCCTCATCGGGTTGAACTGCTCGCCCCTCACCGTCGTGGGCGTCGGCTCCGGCAACGCCTGCTCCGCTAACGCCGTCTGCTGCACGAACAACAACGTCGTGAGTTCCCGTGCCCGACGGGGTCTCGACGCCTTTTGCTGATCAGGGTCCTAGGGCGGCTTGATCTCCATCGGATGCCTCCCGATTGAGCTCTGAGTGGTGGGAGCGTAGTCTGTTAGCACGGCCGGGGTCGGGCCCACTCGGGGGATCGGAAATGGCTTACCGCGTATATCGTCTTCTATGTGTGTGCACCGGAGAATATGACCGCGCCAATATTGGCCCAGAAAAAGAAAGCCCCGGAGAGTGCTGAGAAGCGTTCATAACGGCGACTCTATCAGAACGATCAGACTCTGCCTAGACAGTCCTGTGCGGGACGGGGTTCTGTGTTAGAATGAGCCTTAGCAACGATGCAGTGGTTCCTCTACTCACCAGGTTTGGGCTGTCGAAGCTGCCAGTGGGCCTCGGCCATCTCTACCTGGTAGCATTCGCAGATTCAATGCCGGCGCTGAGGACGTCTGGCTATCGATGGGCTGGAATATGCTCGCTAGTCAGACCGCACGGAGCGCCGTATGCCTATACTGTATTACTCGGCATGTCAACACGCACGTCGAGGTGATCAAAGGAACATCCCAACAAGGTGGACGGCGATTCAATGCGGAGCAGACGAACGAGACGTGACTGTATTAATTGAGGCTTGATGTCCGGAAGGCGAGTGCTCTGCCCACCGCCCGACGGATTGATTTGTGTTTTGCCTCCCGCGCCTCCCCGAGCGGGCAGAAGTCTCCAGTGGCTGAAGAACGACGTTATTTCCAAATCCACCCTGCAGGGAAGGACGAAGGTTTGACTCACCCTTGACCAACTTTCCGCAGCGTCTCATGTACGCATCCCTTCCCGCGGTCCTATTCTGGGCCACTTGTTGCATTTAACCATCTCGGCATGATAAAATATGGGTGCATCCGCTGGATGACTGCAGAGGGAGGGGTCTCCTGCTCGGTGAACGGAAAGCTCTGAGACCACTTGAAACAGCTTGCACCACTCGAAAGCACGCCCCTGCGGCGATCACTTTGTCTGACGTCGGGAATTATTGAGTGAAGAGGGTCGCGAAGGTTCGGATAGGGTTCTCCACACACGCGGCCATGACTGATCAAATGAACGAAGGCGCGCCGCGGAGGGCCGCCATGTTCCCGCTAGCGCCTTCCGCTACGCGAACCACTACGCGTCGCGTAGCGTCCTCATACACAGATCTGGGCCGCCGAGAGCCACCGATCCAGCGTGAAGAGTCCGAAGTGCAGCGCGGAGGACGCGTGCGGCTGCAGAGCACCGCCGTGCCGTGCCAGCGCGCACGACCACCTCGCGGGCCGACCGCGAGTCGAGCCGTATAAATATTGCAGCGTCCGCGGTGGGGGTTCCCCAGCAGTCGTTCTACGATCAGCATTTCCTTCTCCAGCTCTCCCAAACCCACACTCACCCAGTCACTCTTTCGAGCCCCAACCCTCACATTCACTATGTTCGCCCGTGTCGCCGCCTTCGCTCTCCTTGCTCTCCCCGCCTTCGCGGCCGCATCGCCCCTCCGCCGCGGCGACTGCAACACCGGTTCCATCCAGTGCTGCAACTCCGTGCACAGCGTATGTCGTTTGACTCCTCGTTGTGAAGTGCGCACATGAATCCTGATTGGTATCTTAGACCAACGAGAACGCTATCGGTGCCCTCTTGAGCCTCCTCGGCCTCGACGCCGGCGACGTCACTGGCCAAGTCGGTCTCCAGTGCTCCGGCATCTCCGGTGTCGGCGCTGGCCAGTCCTCTTGCCAGGCTAGCCCCGTGTGCTGCACGAACAACAACGTCGTAAGTGTTACCATTCACAACATATATGGGCGATGGACTCACATGGTCGCGAATAGGGTGGCCTCATCTCCGTCGGCTGTGTGCCCATCATCCTCTGAGCTGGCGATCTGGCTACAGAGCAGTAGTTGGAGGACAACTAAGTGGATGTCGAGGATGTTACAATAATAGTTTCGCATAATACGATGCATCGTTTTTGGCCACAATGTCTGCGTGCTGTGCGAGGTTTACTCTGAGGCTTTCGGTCAGGAGGTATGATCGGTAAGGTGTGGTATCCTGAGATGTCAGTATATGTCAGCTCGCATTAATGGTACCCAATTAGAATGGCTTGGTAGTACTGCAATTGATGGTGTGCAAAGTGTGACCCATTCCTTCGCTGTCATATGCAAAGAGCATTGTAAGCTGCGTCATCATCATATATTTGAAGCCAGTGAAATGCCTGTTGGGTAAGCAGTGACTCATTCGTTGATGACTCTTCCACAGGTAGGTCAGTGCACTGATCAAAGAGGTGGGTGGGCTGGAAGGTTGACCGCTGTTGTACAGTCAACAATCATTGCAAGCTGGTACGTTATGAATGCTGAACATAAAGCTGCCTTATATGGCCTGGTGGTCTAGTAGTATGATTCCTTCTTAGGGCACATCGTCTTATTTGGAGGAGGTCCCGGGTTCAATTCCCGGCCAGGCCCTTTTTCCCACTCTACTCGCAAGTCGACGCCCGTTCCGCTCGTTGTTTTGTCCAAGGCAGGAGCGTTAGCACACCCAGACTTTGAGTCGATATGAGTACCTGCGCACGGGCCTTGCACGCCAGCATCGAAGTCCGACGTTTCACGCCACAATGCCCACGAACAGGTGAAAGTGGATAAATTATGGAAACCAAGAACGAGTGCGAGACATATCCCATAACTACAACATGACAGGCATACGAGCCAAAACAATAACACAGCGTCTAGTACAACAAGAAAGACACCCACGGCGGCCAACGGGGCAGCCTACTCAACGCCTCACCTGCGATAATCAGGAATCCGAACCCAGTCCTGCTCAATCTTCTTGGGCGCGACGTGCGCACCGCCCCTGTCCGCCTCCGCGACGTCCTCGGGCGAGGCCTCTGCGGGGACGCCGGGGATGCGCGCCCGTTCTTCCTCCAGCAAGTTCTTCTCGGGACGCGTGCCAGTCCTGCGCCAAAGATAGTGTACCCCGCCTTCTCCCGCTGCGGCGACGTCTCGGACGGCGCTGGGAACGTCGCGGAGGGCGATGCTCGCGCCCGCGCCGACGTCCAGGGAAGCCGCGACCGCGGCCGCGACGCAGCCCGTGCCGTCGGGGCTGGCGGCCCAGCCCTGGCGGCACGAGCGGACGGCACAGCGTCCTGCTTGGCAAGCGACATCTTCGGCATGCGGGATTGTTGAGCAGTCAACGCCGGCGGTGCTTCCTTCGTGAGAAGTGAACGGGCTGGGAACGATGCACCCGCCGCCTTCGGAGTCATTGTCAGTCGGGCGAGAGCAGTGCGGCGAGAGCGTGGTTGGACTCACAGATCTCGAGGTTGGAGCGGACGTCGACGCACTGGAAGCTGCTTTGGATACCCTCGTATTTGCCGCAGACCTGCCGGGGCGGTCAGCGGAGGGAAATAAACGGCGCGGGCGGCTGGTCGACGTACGGTTTCAAAAGCCTCGCACGACGCTTGCGCTTCCGCGGACGTCTTGAGCGCGGCGCGTTTCGCCAGGCGACCCTTCGGGGGAGTCTTGCGCGCGGCCAATTGCAGTGCGCCACAGACGTCGGAGTCGGCGCAGACGCAGGTGTCTCCGACCGCTGTGAAGGGAGAGTCGCACTTGAACCCGCAGACGTTGTCACGAGTGCACTGAGGCTGTGAGTTGTCGGGGTACGTGCAAGTCTGAGACTGGGGCGAGCGAGCAATCTGCGCGCGGCAGTCAGTACTGTGTTGGACACGTCTATGAGGATGCGGTTGCGGAAACTAACCATGAGACCGAAGGCCTCCTCAGCCTCGGTGTAGCCCAAAGTGTTCACAGTGTAGGCGAGCTGGACATTGGTTAAGAGGGTCTGAGTAAGACCGCTCATGCAGAGACACGCGTCCAGATCAGAGGGGAGCCCCGCAGGTACCAGGTTTGAGTCAAGTTCGGCGAGCGAAGTCGAGTTCAAGTAGAGGCAGTCGTCGTGAAAGCCGTGTCGAACAGCACGGTGACGCAAGGCGTGGATGTTGATAGCACGAGTGCGAGCATCTCCAGCGACTTTCGCAAAGACGAAGCTATGACCGAAGGCCAGCGCAAGGACGGCGAGACTGAAACGCATGGCTGCAACAAAGAGATGTCAAGGAACGGCCGTTAGAGAGACTGTTACACTTCTCCCGTTGCTCGCTCTTATACCCTTCCAACTTCAACATGAACTTCACCGGCGTGGCTGGGAGCTCCCCACCGTCACCGGCAGCGAGCGAACACGAACGGACGATCGACGCTATGCACCTCGGAAGGGCAAGCTCCTACCCATATACGGGTGTGTACGCGATCAAATACGACACGACGCTGACAAGTGGGTCCTTCATCTCGCTAGCTGGTCGGGACGCTGCTCAAATTCGGGAAGCGCGTCCGAATCACTCCGCGAGTGACGCAGACGATCGGGATGGGTACCTCGTTAGCGAAAAGGAGGCAACTGTCTACTGTGCCGGAAGAAAGCCATCATCTGCGCCGGTACCCAAGCTCTCACTGTGCACTCGGGATTACTTAGGACACTCGTGCAAAGCGATGTTACGCAGCGGGATAACGCACCGACATCATAGTTGATTCAACTCTGCTGTGCATTACGCACGTTTGTGAAGCTTGGACGCTGATTGACAACCTGGTGAAGTCATTACAAGTGGATCCCATTGACAGGACGAGCGACCGGCCAGGAACCCATCTGTCTTGACAGCAACAGAAAGAGTGACGTAGCATGTACTCAGATAGCAACTGGGAGCATTACGCAGATAGTGACGCTGACACGCAGCACCTATGAACGTTTGAACACGCGGAGAAGCGCAAAGGACTGACGCAGTGGTCATAGCAGGAGCTCATTCCGCGCGGGCGCTCCGCCACACTCCGTTCCGCTGGGTCGGCGCGCGTCGCCGTTCGGTCTCTGCCGACGACGCGCATGCCGCTCCCTCCACCCAACCACCGTGTCGATTTACTGTGATTTCTATGTCGGCAACGGTTTATACTTGAAAACGATACATGCAACTCTCAGGCTCGCTTGTCGGACGCCGAAGACTAAGCCACGCCAGCGCAGGAGACGCCCGCCGGAGCCACTCTAGTCCGATGTACTCACGTAGACCAAGAACCGACCAGGTCTGCAGCGGGCATAGAGAGCATAAGCCAATCCGACAGTATTTTCACGGCGGAAATGAACGTCTTCTGTCGCGAGATGCAGCGCAGCGTCGGCATATGTGGAGCATGACCTCGTGTCATGTCGCGGGTTGCGACTCCATCTCGTAGAAGACACGAGGTGAGCACTCCTTGCAGCTATCTTTGTCTTGAGGTGTGTAGTTATCATATCCAGAACGCTCACATTTTTTCAGAGTTGAGACATTGCGGGAACCTAGGGAAAGCCACTCCCCGGCGTACCGCTGCAGTCGTTCTCGGGTTCTGCACCAACGACGAGCTTCTCTGAGTCACGTCCCCATACCACACTCTAGGTAGGAATAGATCTCACTCAAACCCTTATCAGCATCCTAGAGCTCCACCAAGGCTCTGAGAACGCGCTGATAGGCACGAGGAACCTGTTGCACGCACAGAACCAGCCCGAATCCCAGCATCCTACTGCGCCTGCCGCGTGGCTGTACCTCCGCTCGGGACTTTTCACGAAGGCGTCTAGCGAATTTTGTCAGTGGTGCACACCAGGGCATTCGACAAGACAACGCAGACATAACGGCCGCCTCTATGTCCCATACCTATGATAATACTGATACTGATATTCTCGTTGAAGGATGCTCGAGCCATCTTCCGCGTTCACACTGACACAATGATATAGTGAAGACGACAATGGGTGGCATTTATCGTACTACGAGACTACAATACTCAAGAAAACATCGTTCATTGGAAGAATCTGAGTCCATCGCCGCGTCCTTGTCTCCAGCCCAGCATCCGCTACTGACTAGGCCCCCCCGTTTAGAGAGACACCGGCGCGCAGCCGATGGAGATAAGGCTCCCCTGCATGGCGAGTTCAGCGTGTGCCCTTTGTCATTGAGTTGAAGAGCTTGTGTCACTTACGAAGCTGTTGTTCTGGCAGCATACGGCTTGGGCGCTGCAGGCGCTCGGTCCGCCAACGCCAATGACGGTGACCGGCGAGCAGGTGAGTCCGACGAGCACGTCCACGCTCTGGACCACTATGCCCAGCAAGGAGAGGATACCGGCGGCTGCGGGATCACTGGCCTGCGAGGTATTGTGTTAGCGTACGCGCATAATAGTGAGTCGTCATGATCACCTTCTCAACACTGTCGCAGCACTGGAGGGCTCCAGTCGAGCAGGTGGATCCCCCGCCGCGGGTCTCGAGGGGGGTGGCGGCCGCAAGAATGGGGAGGGCGGCGATGGCGAAGGTAGCGACGCGAGAGAACATCATGGTGATATCTGGGCTGGAGAAGGCTAAGAGCGGTGGGGAAGGCTGTAGTGCTGCTGAAAGGCGGGGAGTGTCCGACTGTGGCCTGAGGTCCTCTCCTCCTGCTCACCACGCTTTTATACCCGCAGGAACCCAGCCCGCGCACCGCAGGCCCGTCCTGGCATGGCAGCCCACCGTCCAACAGGGAAGTCGAACTACCGCACTCCACCGCTCCTCCCACCTAGTCGCGCGATGCGGACGCGCGCGGTACGTACGTCGAAGTGCGCGCACACCCGTCCCGTGGGCACCCGCCCTGTCAGTGTCAAGCCTCGCCAGCCCGCGGACGTCACCGATGCCCTCACAAGGCGACCGCTCCACCCCCATCGCATGCGACGACAGCTCCGCGACTGATGGGGCCATCGCGCGCGATCTCAGAACCCAGAACGGATGTTTGCGAGCCGCAATGTGACGTGCGCCCCTGGCGCGGCCGTCGCAGTGAATATTTGAATGCGCGCGTTGGTCTGCGCTGGTGCCCCACCGGGTGCGTGCACACGCGATAGGCTGGGCCGGCGCTGGGGCGGGTGGCTTGTTCGCGCCCGCGTTCGCGCCGTGCGCGCGTTCTTTGTTCGACGCGGCGGGGCATCAGACAGCGGCCATCGCAGTCCACTCGATGGGACGGCGAAGACCTGCTGCAGGAGACGTGGAACGGCTTCGCGGCGAAGCTACGATCGCTTCGGCGCGTTCTGGCTGCACCGCGCCTCTTCTCAGAGGGCTTGCTTCGTGGCAGTCTGGCAGGGGGATCGCAGTCCACTGGCACGCCGAACGCGCGCCTGTGCGCGTCCACCGCGGCGACGAACCCTGGAGAAAGTTTTCGGGTGGGTCCGGTGGCAGTTTATCACCGCGCCGCCAGATTTCGTTGCTGATTCCATATCTTAGAGGGTCGACGTCGTCGGTGCTGGTGTGGTCATTGCTGGTGCCCATGCGATGATGCTGGCTGTCGGTGGCGTTGGGGTCGCAGATCATCTCCGTGCCCGCCCAAAACTAGCTTTGAATCTTGACGGGCATCGCGGTGCAGCAGCAGCAGAGCTTGCACTTGCTTGCGTCGCCGGCG